TTAAAGTTCAGTCTTTATACTGAAAGCAAAGGTATATTTACAAACATCACTTCCATGCACCAAAGTGTTATGTGCACTAACTAAATGAATAAATAACAATATAAATAACAAAATTAAATAATAATATTTTTTATTATTACACATATATAAAAAGACTTAATGGTCACTAACCATTGTACAGTATACTGTAGGCTAAACTGATGCATGTTTATGAAGGCAGTACTAAATTGTAATTTGTTTTGTGAAAAAGACAACTGGACACCGGTATTTGAATGGATGGAGGATTAAGACAGAAGTAAATATACATCACAAAAAGAAGAAAGGTTAGGCATATGGCTAGCAAATTGATTTCATGGTCGTTTCTTTTCTCTTTAGTTTTAGTGTATTTTCCATGTGTAGTGCCTATAGTCTATTCAGAGATCACCTCAGTGGAACAAATCACCAACTATTACAGCATGTATTACGCAGCGGATGTCCTTCTGCAACCTAGTACTGGGAAACACACACACACACACACACACACACACACACACACACACACACACATGTATACACATATACACCATGACCAATTTAGATTATTCAATTCACCTATAGCCTTTGGAAAGTGGGGGAAACCGGAGCAAGAACCCACTCGAACATGGGGTGAACATGCAAACTCCACACAGAAATGCCAACTGACCCAGCTGGGACTTGAGCAAGCGACCTTCTTGCTGTGAGGCGACAGTGCTACCCACTGAGCCAAATAAAATATTGAAAAATTTGCCACAACAACAGTGAAGTGATCCAAACACAAATCTGGATTCAACTCACAACTCTCATACAGTATTTGTTTTTAACAGGATAAAAAGGTAAGTTGCATTAAAGGTACAATAGGAGAAATTGGAAAATGTTGACATTAGCCTGATAGCTCTTAAAGCAAATCACCATCCAAAACCATGCCTCACAACAACATCGCTCTCTCTCTGAACCTTTTTTCCGCGAATGTATCAATGACGTAATGATTTCTGCACAAACAGTGTGCACAGAGCCAATTACAAATATGGAGTTACACATTTTGACAGATGAATGAGGACAGTGCTGTTCAGACTGAACATTTTGATTGACAAACTTTTCTTTGTCCTACACCTTAGACAGAATAATAAATACATTTGGACTACTTTAATTAATGTATCAACTAGAATTTAGGTTTCTAAATTTTGCCACTCTTTTGTTTGTGTTTTTTTAGGTCTCCAAAATCTTTCCTTTGACTTCAAAATAAGGCAAGTTCTCAAGTTTACTTCAATTTGGCATTTCATTTACTTTAATAAGGTTAAATGTTAACCCCTAAATCACTGTTAACTTCTTTTTTCTGTTTTAAATAAATCAGTGTTCAAATACCAAATGTCGATAAAAATGTTAACACCATAGAAAATCAACAATTTTCAATGAAATAAAATAGATAATTTTATTTTAATCTTCAAATGTTTAGTCTTTTTAAAATGACAGATTTCTTTACATAGTCCACATAGATATTAAAATGTATTTTGTCTGTTGGGAAAACGTTGTCTCCACCTCACAGAAAGAAAGTTAAGGCCCAATCCCAATTCTATTTTTGTTCCCCTACCCCTTCCCCTTGGCCCTTAAAACCAAGTGTGAAGGGGAAGGGCTTCAAAATTCACCCCTAAAAAATGGGACAGCAGCACCTCCATACATCATCATATGTCATCGTGATCTATTGCTTCAAATGAGATCAGACGATCGCGACTGCTGTAGTTATTTTAGGTGCGTTATTTTTTGTATTTCTTATCAGGAAATCGCTGAAGGCATATATTATGTTATCATAACGATCTAATGTGGCAATAAGATCATAGTTATACTGTGCATTTAGAGTGGCCATATTCATCTTTGTAAAAACACCAAAAACAACATTAACATAATAGCAGGCACTGTAAAAAGCTCATTCCCAGCCACTAGACTTTTCTGACAAGGTATTCAAGTGTCATCGAGTGACAGAATGTTGTGGAACTTCTGCACATAAGTTATTATTAATTTTTTTTAAGCATAACGGTAAAACACGAATGCGGTTATGAATATATTAAAACATGTTTGTTTGGTTCTTAATAATGACAAAAAATACTAATTTGTGCATCTCCTTACTTCCAGGTTCAGCAATACTGCCATTGTGGCTGGTGTTTTCTGGGAAATTTTCTTTCCCCTTGGTTTCGAGTGTGGTCATGAAAAATCTTAGTTCGAAGGGTTATTCACCCCTTCGCCTTAGCCCTACGCCTTCAAGTTAAAGAGAATTGGGACACCCCTACCCCTTGACTTGAACTTGCAAAACAAGGGGTAGGGGTAAGGGGAAGGGCTAAGAGGTAGAATTGGGATTGATTGGGTTTTAATTTGCCCTCCTACTGTTCGCAAAGTTCAATAAATGTGTGCTTTGTTTGACAGACATTCCAAAAACAGACTCAGTCAGCTCACAGTATATTTTTATTTGAATGAAATCATTTGATTTAGCCAACTTTCTAACAATACGTGAATAGTAACATTTCCATATGAGATTGGGTTTCTCCTCACTAGTCCATTCTACTTCACTCTATTAATCTTATTTGTATAGGTAATGTTGGTCTGCAGATTTGGCTGTTATTTTTTATTTTTTTGTAAAGAAAACTAAGGATGATATACAAAAGAAGATCATAAGGACATAAGCATGTTAAAATCTTTAATATGAGACAATATGTTTAAATTGTTCTCTAAATCTTACACAGAAAATATGTGGATAAGGTAAGTGCAAAATCTTCTCCAGAAAGTGTTTACATGCTATTTACAACTCTATGAATTGGTCTGCTCTGTTTCTACCTTTTTTGCAAGGGTTATGAATAGTAATGCTCTCATGCTCCTGTCAGTTTCTGATGTTATAGTCACACTTTATTTTGATGGTTTGTTTGTTGAATTTAAGTTACATTTGATCTACATGCCAACTAATTCTCATTAGATTACAAGTAGACTGTTAGTTTGGGGTTACGGTTAGGGTTAGTGTAAGTTGACATGTACTTACAAAGTTATAGTCGTTTAAATGTCTGTTGAAGGACCAGTATCAACAGATATTAAGCAGACAGTCTACTAATACTCAAAAGGGCCATCAAAATTAAGTGTTTCCAAAATCATACTTTGTTGTTTTAACAAATTGATCATATGCCTTGCCAAATGATAATTGCTTGAATTTAAGTTTTGTAGAAAGTCACATTAGCTAGGAGCAAATGTGCTCTGCTAGCAAAATGATAACCTAGCCTGCTCCTAATGAGGAGTTCAGATTTTAGCCCTGATTTTTGCATGCCAACAGGTTGTGAAATAGCAGAAAAATGCCCAGAATTGGAAGCAAATCAATACTTGTCAGTCTGTGTGTATCCACTTGTCACTGATCCATTGTGTAGTGTGAACAGCAGCAACTGAACACTTCCCTTGAGTCGTGCAGTGAAAACAAAGATGATTGGACAACTTTGCTTAAGTTGTGTGTTGTCCAAATACAGGCTAAACTATAATTCAATGAATTAATAAATTTATTTAATCAGCTGAATGAATTTATAATCCGTCTTTCCTATATTTATCGTTCTGACAAGCTGTAATGAGATATGAGATTTGATTACACGAGTTACTTGTTTATATCTCAGAGTTGCTGAATAGTAAACTGTGGTGTACTGTAGTATAATATACCATGTAGTAGAAAGGATGATTTGGTAATACTGGGTGAATTATTTATATCCTTATAGTTGTTGTGTTGGGCGTCACGGCGGCCCAGTGGGTATCACAATCACCTCACAGCAAGAAGGTTGCTGGTTCGAGCGCCAGCTGGGTCATTTGACATTTTTGTGAGGAGTTTGTATGTTCTCCTCATGTTGGCATGGGTTTCCTCCGTGTGCTCAGGTTTTCCCCACAGGCCAAAGACATATGTTATAGGTGAAATGAATAAGCTAAATTGGTCATAGTGTATGTGTGCGGATGCAAGAATGTATAGGTGTTTTCTAGTGTTGGGTTGTGGCTGTAAGGGCATCCGCTACGTAAAACATATGCTGGATAAGTTGGCGATTCATTCCACTGTAGTGACCCCTTATTAATACATGGACTTAGCCGAAAAGTAAACAAATGAATGAATGAATGAATGAATAAAAGTTGTTGTGTTACCATATCAACTGTACAGTTACCACATCAGACTAAATCAAGTACTTTACTACAAAATTATCTTCTTTTCCATTTCATAATACGATTATTTTGCTTGTTTTAAGGAAAAACTTAACACAAGACATAGCTTAACTATAAAATAGCTTTTATTTAGGAGTTTTTAGATATTTGGGCATGTATTATGGTTCAAATACATAACAGTATTTACTATCAATTACATTAACACTTTGTAATGTGGGTATACAGGAAATATTTTAAACCACCTCAAACTTAGAACATAAGGAAATTTGTTTATGTACATTATGTTTATTAATATGCTATGAAACATTGTGGCCAGTCTAATGCTGTTGATGATACAGAGTGTTATGTAGTGGTCAGTTTTATGCTCTGACTCATATTTTTCTATGATCTTTTGTTTAAATAAGATTTACAGAAAATAATGAGGTTTGAGGCTCATGATATATTTTTCCAAGTACTGATCATTTATTATTCAACTATGCCTAAGGATTTTATTTCACTAATGACTGGAGAACATCTTTCAAACATATGCCAATTAGATTATATTATTCCAAAAAAGATGCTGAAAGCTCAGTAGACTTAACATCCAGACAGACATTTGAACATTTGTACAAAACACAGAGTAAATTTCTTCCACAAATGTAGGGTCAGAAGTATTCTAAAGAACAATTGACTGCAAAATGACAAAAGAATGTTTTTTGGTTCTATTTTGGCCTCTATGCCAACTTGCACAGTCAGGAATTGACTAACAATAGCTACTGTGTAGTCTTTAGTCTTGGTTTAGTATAAAGGTACAGGTGACAGCAGTTAGTCAACAAGCAGAATTGGCTTCAGATTCTCCTTTGTGGAACCACCAAGGATCATCTAACGCAACCATGATGGGCAAGGTAAACATCATTGCTGCTAAAGTTTACATACAGTCAACTACACTTTTTTGAATTTAAATGTTTTAATTTAAACAACTAAAACAATAAATTTGAATTTTCAGGTCATCTTCTACGAGGACAGGAACTTCCAGGGTCGCTCTTATGAGTGTATGGGAGACTGTGGTGACTTCTCCTCCTACATGAACCGTTGTCACTCTTGCAGAGTGGAGAGTGGCTGCTGGATGATGTACGATCAGCCCAACTACATGGGAAGTGGATATTTCTTCAGGAGAGGAGAGTATGCTGATTACATGTCTATGTTTGGAATGAACAACTGCATCAGGTCCTGCCGTATGATCCCTATGGTAAGATCTATTTTATTATGTATGCATTTATTTGCTTATTTGTTTTTTGATAAAAATATAACACTAAATTGACTTCTGTTTCACTACAGTACAGAGGATCCTACAGAATGAGGATCTACGAGAGGGACAACTTCATGGGTCAGATGTACGAGATGATGGATGACTGTGACAGCATCCAGGACCGTTACCGCATGTCTCACTGCCAGTCTTGCCATGTGATGGACGGCCACTGGCTCTTTTATGACCAGCCCCACTACAGAGGCAGGATGTGGCACTTTGGGCCTGGACAGTACAGGAACTTCAGCAACTATGGTGGCATGAGGTTCATGAGTATGAGGCGTATCATGGACTCCTGGTACTAGTGTCCCTAGTGTACTAGTAATGTCTTAATAAAATAAATTGTCACCAACTTTGTGCTTTGACATTGAATACTACATACGTTTACCTGACAAATGCACACAAAATACACCTGAACTAAAAAAGCTCACCCACTGTAATCTGGTTTATTCCCTTAACAGGGGTTATTACAAAAGGAGGAACCACTAATTACTCTAACATACTTTTTAATCAGTTGATGCCCTTCCTGCCACTACCCAGAAACCCAGAGAGTACAACCCACAGTGCTGGGAAACACCCTCATAATTAAAAACATTTAATTTTACTTAAATTAAGTTTAATTCATTATGACAATTTTCTCCAAACAACTTTAGTGCAATTTCAGTAGATTGACAGCAATATAATAACAGTGGCTATTATCTCCCATTACAAATATTTGTTGCTTGATTACATCATTAATGAAAGATGGCAGAAAGTGACCCCAGAGATATTTATACAGAGAGGTCAGATAATAATAATAATAATAATAATAAAATATATTAGGTAAATTGAGTTTTTATTAAGCAAAAAAACAGCATTCCACATGAGGACATTATGCAGCAGTGGTCAGATTTCATTGAAAGTCTGGGTATGTAACCAGCTAGTATATTTGTATATTTTTTTCAAATATGTTAAGAATTCATATTATAATAAAGTACATTTAGCAAATATATCAGCACAAATAATTATTCACGGCTTTCACACAAAATAAGAATAATTGTAACTAAACCTATGCTATTATATTTTATATGTTGATATACTGTAACGAAAATTGATTCAATGTGAAGTAGGATATGAATGAAATTATAGGTTGTTACAATCAGTGTTTTGTTTCCAATACAATGAGTGTTTTCCAAAATTGGCCAATATTGCTAATAAGATTCCACATTTATGAAATTACTGTTACTGTTCCTACAACAAGCTTTATTGTTATTAAATTGTAATGTCATTGTTCTTAATAATTGAGCTTATTTAAATTGCATAACATGATAGAAAACCCCAAATTCCATATTTCCAACTGTGGTTTTGTGCCTGATTTGACACCTTTATTACATGGTGTCCACATCTGTGTACTGTTAAATAATTTTTAAATAAATAACATTTTCTGCTGTATGTTCTCTATTGTTGCTTACAATGCCATTCATATCATGTCTAAACATGTGGAAAGTGCAAGAGGTTCCACTTTACTCTATTTGCGCAAGCTTGCTGAGCATTTACATTTTAAATTAGTTCACAAAGTGAAGTTTATTTATAATCTAACTTCGAGAGGATCACGTGCTTATGATTGCTTGCAGACGGCCCCACATTATTCAATTTATGATTTATCAATCAGACGATTCCTGAGCCACTATAAATACCCTAAGTTCCATATAACACCTTTCTTTGTTTTGAAGAATCCCCCTTTCCATCCCTACTCCTCCTCCTTTCCTAGATGGGTGACACGGTGGCTCCGTTGTTAGCACTGTTGCCTCATAGCAAGATCGTCACTGGTTCTAGTCCTTACTAAGCCAGCCCAGAGGTGGGACCAAGTCATTGTTTGGCAAGTCACAAGTAAGTCTCAATTCATTACCCTCAAGTCCCGAGTCAAGTCCCGAGTCAAGACAGGCAAGTCCCGAGTCAAGTCCCGAGTCAAAGGCAACAAGTCTCAAGTCAAGTCCAAAGCCCTGCAGTTTGATTTTCGAGTCTTTTCGAGTCTTTTTAACAGAAAAATAAAATATATACAGATTAGGTATGGTTGTAAGATCTGTATTAATTAAACAAACCTTTTTTTATGAAAGAACATTGCTCAGATATATAAAAATACAAATGCAATTTTCTGAAAAAGTACTGAACAGTGCTGCGTCTCGTCTCCACAGCATAATGCACAAGAACGAGTTCCACCAAAAAAAGACTCCATTTTGCCTCACATGACACAGAAATTGCAGGTCTACTGCTGTCTAATTCATTAAGTTTAGTTGTGCTATGTTATGTCTTCGGTGATCAACTTGTGATTAACCAAAATTACATAACCTCAATGTGGTAGCAGTAGACCAACTCCTGTATATGCTGCAAAGTTAAATTGAGTGAAATTGGAATTTTGTCAATTGAATCTCGTGTGTGCTAAAGAGATGGAGTTGCAAATCCGTCTAGCAGCAATGTAAAATGGTAGCACATATTGTTAATGAAGTAGGCTACTTCATACAAACAATAACGTTGTTTTCTTCACATAACGTTGAAGAGCTTTGCTCTCTACCTTGTGTGATGCTCGTGCACGGATTTCCTCTGTTTGTGGACAAAACTGATTGCGACTTCTCAAATATACACTGCTCACGCGCAAATTTTCTCTTGCTCTCAAATATGCACTGCTCACACACAAATTATCTTGAGCGCTCTCAGAGATTATATGCAGACTCACAATTTGTGTCGTGTTCCCTCTTCCTTTCATGCTTTTAGATATGATTCATATTGCTGCACTGTTTAATAACAATACCCAAAATACTAAAATAGACTTACATGTTAAATGTTTAATCTAATAAACCATAACATTTTTGGTTGTTTTATATGATGAGATATTTTCAGTTTCAAACACTTAAAGACAGAAAATAGACCAGTGGTGCCCCCCTGAAAATTTGCTTAGGGGTGGCCAGAAGAGGCCAGCTACGTCAGTGGCACCAATCAATCCACAATAATTTAGTGGCTGCTATTTATTTATTGAAATATTGCATTGTATTGCATTTATGTAAGTAGATTTAAATAAATAATGTCAACAGCAAAATCATATCGGGGTGGCTAGAGTTTACACAGGGGAAACATCCCTTGTAAAGGGTTTTACACCACTATAAGGCACCACTGGAATAGATGTTGGATGTAAAGAATACATTTTATTTTAAAAGCATTTAAACAAAAACTAATGCAAGCAGAAATGTAACTGTGATAAAATAAGGAAACACTTGATAAGGTATTGTAGCCTACTGTACTATTCACTCTTCAAATAAATCTCACTATCAATCTCATTTTATCATGGCAGCTAAAATAAAGTAAACTAGTGTCTGCTGGCTTCCACTTTGCTGATGAGATTGTGGAGGACATTTTCCATGTCATCCTCTTCATTTTGAGGAAAGCTGTTCCACAGGGCCCCTGAACACGTATATTGGCATGTACTGTGTTTTGAACAGTAGCCTACTACAGTAAAGAACTTCAATTGATCAGTTGTGGTAATACTATAGTTGCTATGGTAACACAAGTGTAATATAAACAAATTACCCAGTGCTGTATTATTTTACAATATAGGGTATTTTAAACTACAAATCACTACACTTTACTGTAGTAAAACTACACTTTGTATTTTATCTGTTCACTATTGTTAATACTACTATAATAAGTACAATACAAGTATACAACAAGTATAATACTCAAAAACACTAGAATTTATTAAAGAATTTACCTTAACCTTTTAGTTTTTTGTGTATTGTAAATAAATAGTAAAGCAAGAAAGAAACCATATCAACATTCTTGGAATAACCCTTCGCTAAGCCTCGCCCTCCTTAGTTACTGTTGCTACGCCTGTCAAGCTTTCATGCCTGGCACATCTATTACAGTGTGTATGTGCTGGTGTCAGACATTCCTAAGGATTTAATTAGTAATTTTTGACAAACAGGTCAAAAATGAGGACTGCAGTATACATTACAGGGGTATATTCACAACATAATAGCAACTGATTAGAGAATAATTTTATCAAAATTGAAGCAAGGTTAGCCTAGCAACCTCATACGCTGAACATTCAACAGCATAGTTCATGCACAGCAGGAGAGGTGAAATTATAAAATAATCTAATAACCTAAGAAACTGATAGATTTGTGCCGAATATTGGCATCATTGACCCATAACAGTGTACAGTACCTATTACTGTCAGCATGTTTGTGTGCTCTTTATCCAGTTTTTATTCAAATTTGCAGTTAAGTGGAAGAAAAAAAATTGAAATGCAAATCAAAGTATAAATAACAGAAGTGAACAAATAGATATTTCCTACCAGCAAATATTAGTGTATGTATTTATATGCGTTACAATGGCAAGGGTTTAAACTAAGCAGTGCTCATAATATCGAGTGGAAAAAAAGAAAAAGACCGCTGGTAAACATAACCTGCTTTTTTTTTTTTTTATAAGAACACAGTTTAGATCTGTTTAGGATAAGAGGAGTGTGAGTTATTGCCACCTATCACTGAATGTGATTATCGAAAACAAAATCAACTTAGCTGTTAACTCCTTTACCGCCCCTCACACAGCTTGATCCACGCTGGCATTTCTCCTCTTGGGCTTTAGGTTTTGAAAAGGGAAAAATCCCACCACCCAGTCCAAACTTTTAGGATAGCGGGTGTCAGATTTGCACAATCCAATAATTGCGCAACGATTTGGCTTGTTTCCCTCGCTCGAAAGCTTAACAGAGCCCCTGTCCGTAGCCACGATTGGTAAGCCGCGATTGGTGGGTGGCGGTTTTTGGGCGTGGCTTAGCGAAGGGTCAGTTTAAAAGGAGGATCCCGTGAGAGCAAAAGCACTAAAGGTATGAGACGCCATCGTAAACAAAAGTCAAGCGAACGCAAAGAGACTGAATGCACGAGAGAGAGAGAGAGAGACAGAGAGAGAGGTTTATGTTGTATGTGAGAGAGAGAGAGAGAGAGAGAGAGAGAGAGAGTATTGGCACGCGAGTATTGGCTCGATCTCAAATTCAAATTCTCTCTGCGTTCGCTTGACTTTTGTCCACTCCGGCGCCTCATAGTAGTCACGTTGGATACTGTCGAATCAAAACAATCTACCGTGCTTTGATTGGATGTCATGCCGAAAGCGCGCATGCTGTCACACACACACGCACACATAAACGGGGAGAGAGAGAGAGCGGTCCATGTCAACATACTTTTTTATCTTTGGGCTTTTCATGGGAAGCAGCAAGTCTTTACAAGTCAATAGGGGCAAGTCCTAGTCAAAGTCCGAGTCATTTATGTTCAAGTCCAAGTCGAGTTGCAAGTCTTTTTATATTTTGTCAAGTCGAGTCTAAAGTCA